AGAAAACAACACAGACAAAGTAAAGGAAGTAGAGAATCAGGCGTAACCATACTAAATTTCATACTTTTTGGCAGCCAAGGTATGCGGATTCTCATGACACAAATGATCTCCTTGGCTAATCCTTTGTGTTATTAATGGTTGAATGAATCTGAGTGCTTACTACGCTAGTTGACTTGGACATTGACTTAGAACAAGACTTGGAAAAGAGGCCTGGAAAATAAGGCTAACCCGCTCCTACTCAGCTTCCTCAAATGTCATGTTAGAATGACTTTGAGTAGTCCAAGGTCTTTTGCGTCCACCGAAGTTCACCCAACGGCAAAAAGACTAGTGACAGAAATTCCGAGTTTTATCCACGGCAACCACCTAATTTTATTATATATTTGCCACTAATGAATTTCATCATCAGGGTCAACAATTATAATTAGATTTTACTTCTTTTATGGAGCAATCACCAGGGGCATTATCTGAACTTAATGTGTGGTCGAAGACGTTAAAAACTTGATTGGATAATTGGAGTCCAATGAAGAAAAAGAAGACAAGTTAGGAGAAAAAAGATGCATTTGATGTTGACGAGTTTCTGAAGATTTTAAAATACTCAAAACGCGTTTTCAATTCATATTCTTGTTATTTCTGGCACCTTTCTTCCTTTTCCTTGCCTCCTTCTCCTTCTTCTCCTTCTCTGTTCTTATGTTCATTTTCTTCGCTATTTCCATGATTCACCCCTGAAAATGTGGCCTTCCCATTCTCGTGAAGAAGAAACTTCTCAAATACACTTGTAATAAAATACTTGTTAATAAAATAATAATTAATGTAGGTTGCATGTATTACAACAGCAAAATTTTATCCACCCAGCGAATAGATGAAATAGACTTATTTACTGATTATTATATATGTCGACCATCAAATAAGTATGGGTAATTATTTGATGTTTATATTAGTCAACTGTTAAATAGATTTTTTTAATTACCAGAAATTTAAAACTATTTGATAACTTTTTTTCCCGGTAAACAGCGGTCAAATATTTTTAGGTAATATACTTGATTGTCAAATATATACGTTGGATTTTTTTTTTTCAAGTAATCGTTAAGAGTCTCATTCAAATGGCTTTATGATTTTCCAATTACTATAGTGATGAAAATGCTAAAAATATCAATTTTCAACTTAAAAGGATTGGAATCAAAGTTAATTATTCTTCCACCAATGCAAAAACATTTAAATCTTTTCAGTTATCAATCTTAAATATTGGTTCTTCCAAATAATTTTTTAGTTAATGACCCATAATAACATAAATATCTTAACAATCCTGCCCCACATTCATATAATTTATAGAGGATTAAGACAATTAAAGTGTAAAAGTGATACTTGGAAGTAATCACAAACACCCAATAAATAAAAGCGAACAAATATAATTGTCAAAATGGTTAAAATATAAAATAGATTTTATTATGTTTGTAGTTGAGAATATGGAAAGAACTATATTATAGAGTTCGAAATAACTATATAAGAGGAGTTTGATTTCAACTTATATGAAAGTACTTTTTAAAAGTGTTTTGGAAGGTAACCAAACACCCCCTTAGGTACAATAAAACAACTTTAATTTTACAATAGTGATCATACTGTACGGGGAGGGAGTTGTGGCATTGAGTCGTTTAGTGATCTAGTTCCATCCAAAAGTAGTGAGGTTGGGAGAGATGTATGTATCTCCCAGTTCGAAAACCCAGCACCACGAAACTCTAGGTGCTTTAGATAATCATCCTTCCCATTTTCAATTTTCTGCAGAAACTCCACTACTTTATCCATGGAAGGTCTTAGCTCTCCATCCCTCTGCAGGCACTGAAAAGCTAAGTTTGCCACTGAGATTATCATCTCCTTAACCTTGTCATCAGACTCAAAACAAAGGGAAGGATCTATCAACTCAGTAAACGCTCTTCTTTGAATCTTCTTAACTGCCATATTTGCCAAACTAATCTTATCCTTGGCCCTTGTAACAATGATAGCTGGCTTAGAAGATATGAGCTCAATCAGCACGACTCCGAAACTATAAACATCACTCTTTTCAGTAAGCTCACAGAATTGGTAATATTCGGGGTCCAGATAACCTGGGCTTCCTGCTGGAGCTGTGGAGACATGAGACACAAACATGGGAAACAATCTGGAAATACCAAAGTCAGCAACCTTGACACAAAAATGGTGATCTAGAAGAAGGTTGCTGGATTTGACATCGCGGTGAACGATGCCGGAAGCATGGAGATAGGACAATGCATTTGCTGTCTCTATGGCAATCCTCATCCTCAAAGGCCACGATAGTGAACTAGGTTTTGCTAGATTTCCATGAAGATGACAACCAAGAGTTCCATTTGGAATATATTCGTAGACTAGGAGCAGTTCACGACTGGTACGGGAAGTGCAGCCATAAAGTGACACAAGGTTTTTGTGCCGCAAGCGTGTTAGAATCTTAACTTCATTCATGAATTGCTGTACACATGAGTTGCGCTCAAACAGCCGCTTAACAGCAACTTCTCGTCCATCTTTAAGTTTTCCTAATCGTTTAAAATCAAATCAACACCTTTTCATCAATATCTACACTAACACAAGTTAATAATGCATCTTCCAAACACGATAATATAACTTCAAAATTCAACTATGTAAGAATGAATATTTTTGACAGAAGAAACTCTCAATACATATTTTTAAGGTGGCTTACCATAGTAAACAGTTCCAAAGCCTCCACTTCCAAGTTCTCTTGATTGATCAAATTTGTTTGTTGCTTCTTCGAGTTCCTCATAGGAGAAGACAGGGAACTTAAAGTAGATGTGTCTACCTTCTAGGATTACATTTGAGTGAGCATTATCAGATTCAATGGTTCTTGACTGATTTTGTGAGCCCAAAGACTTGTGTCTCCGTTTGTTCCGCAATAGAATAACAACCAAACCAATTATAATCACAACAGTTCCACTTGGTACACCTATATATATGCCATGTGACAGAATTTGGTGAAATGGAATAACTTGCATTTCATTGATGAGAGAGTTATATTTATAGAAGGAAAAATATACATAACAAACAACAATTACAAGTAACTGAATTTGTTTTGTATAATTAGAGGAAGAGCTTTGAAATTTTAATTAATTCTAGGATTATAATAGCCACGTATACAGTCAATTAATATAAGATTTGTTGTGCTCTTTCGTCATCAAATAAGATTTCTTGTGCCTATATAGAGATTTCATACTTTTTAGCAGCCAAAATACATGGATTTTCGTGACACAAACATTATCTTCGGCTAACCTTTTGTGTTAATAATGATAGAATGAATCTGTGTGCTTACTATGTTCATTGACTCGGACACTGACCAGGATCAAGATTTGGAAAAGTGGACAGGAAAATAAGGGTCAAGTCTTTGCCCTCCACCTTGAAGTTCCCACAACCACAAAAGGACACAGTATACAGGAAACTTCAAGTTTTATCCACGGGACCACGGCAACCGCCTAATTTTATTATTTATCAATAATGATTTTAAAAATACTCCTAGTATCTGTATTCATCATCAGGGTCAGCTTAAGTATAATCAAATTTTACTATTTATGGAGCAATCACCAAGCACTATCTGTCCAGTGATGTTTTCATTGAATGTCTAGTCCAATGGGAAAAGAACTTCATTAAAATCTTTAGTCTCTCCTCTGCTTTTCTCGAACCAAACAATCATAAAAATTAATAAAATTTAAATATTTAATGAATACTAATTTGATAATTTCTCAAAAATAATCGTACTTGGAACAATATGTGGATTTATGTTTTTAGTGGTAATTTCACAAAATGTAATGCTATCTAGATGTTGTAAAAGCATAAATAATTCTATTTTGTTTAATTTCTGGTGCAATTCACAAGATATTTTTACCGGTTATAATATAGAAATAAACAATGACTTGTTGTATTTTAAAATTACAATTATACACGAATGTAGACAACAAATTATTTTATTCTACAAATTATTGCAATTATGAAAATTTTTAAAAGAAATCTAAAACGCAATTTGTTTTATTTTAGAAATTATTATATCTATATATATTTAAAATATAATTAATAACTAAATAATTAATCTATTACCTATTAGCAATCCCAGCTTCCAAGCCCGTCTTTCTGTCTCAATTTCATATGTGCCACAATTAAGAGAAGCAGATACGAAATGAACAAATTAGTATCAGAGTTGATAATATTAGATTTAAAACCACAAAAGAAAAACGCAGAGCCCATTTGATTAGTTGGCAAGCAGTTAATATGAGCCTCTGAAAAAAGATAGAGTAAATTTAACATGTTACTTAATTATTATGCGTGCCTTTGAGACGGTAAAATTCTCTGGTGCTGTTGAGACGGCAGGAGCCGTTGTCAGAAAGACATAAGCAGAGTTGACAGGCATACATGTGGCCATCTAAAAACGAACGAGGAAAATTAACTGTACCAGAGAAATTCTCATTTGTTGTACTAAGTAATGCATACCTTTGAGACAATAAAATTCTCCAGTGCTGTTGAGCCTGCATATCCCTTTGTCAGAAACACATGAAGCACAGTCATTAGAAAGCTGAACTACAACAGGAAATTCAGAAGCTATGAATGTAAATGGATCAGCAGAGAAAGCCATCGTATTCACTGGAAGCTGAACCCTTGGACATCTTGCTAAAGGAGTTGGACGGTCATCCTCATCCTGCGCTTGGAAGAAAAAGATCTCATTCTTACTTTGAGCACATCCTGTATAGTTAAAGAATTGCTTTGAAAGACTCTGATTGAGTAGACTACTGCAACTGTACATGGTTACATAAGGAGAGATATAAAAGGAACCCAAAGGTGAGTTGGGAGGAAGAGTAATATTGGAACGCAAGGCGTCACAACTATTACTTGCCAAACGCTTCTCCAAATACAAGTCTCTAACGACAACTTTAGGAGTCAACCCGGGTTCTATTCTCGTCACTTGAAACATCTTTTTCCTGAATTGCAGGTCTTCACAGCCATGAATCGGCAACATCCCACAGTCTTTGCGTTGTGGAGTGGTTAAAGGGAACGAGAGCTTCCCCAGGTTCCCACAGTCAAAGAAACCTGGGCACTCATCTCCTAAAGCAGAATGGTCATAAAACAAGAACAAGAAAAAGAAGAACAAATAGACAGGTAGAACCATGATCTTCTTCTGAAACTCTCACTCGCAGAGAACAAGTTTAGTCTATGGAGACTATATATGGTTATTTCAAGCAATAACTTGCTAAGGTGTGGTTGTAGCTCTACGAAATGGCAGTTGACTTAGCCGAAAGACCAAGACCGAGAAGATGAATGTGAGAGACACGTGTCCTTTTCTCAACAAAAAGCAGAGAAATTAATAATTCACGCGGTTTTTAATTTTAATATTCCCATTGCTGTTTATTTATATAGTAATTTTAATTTTAATTTAATATATAAGCATCGCAACTCGTGGTGAACATTTTATTATTCGATGAACATTCGCAGCAAATAATCTTTTCGAAATTTGCACCTGGAAAGAAAGTATTATTAATAATATATTGATAAAAACTGCACTTTTAGTTCTTTAATTTCGTACAAAATTCTTTTTCCTTAACTTCATAAAGCTTCTTTTACGGGATCTAATTCTAATATTTTTACATGAATTTTTAAAAAAAAATCTATAAATACTACTGTATTGAATAATTAAAAAAACAATGATCAGTGCAAAAAATCGTCATGTTAGATTAACGGTATTAATATTAGAAAAATGGAAAAATTACTTTATTAAATTAAAGAAGTAAACTAAAATTTTTTCCTGGTATGTGTTATTTGGATTTATTTGTTTTATTTTTATTTTGAGAACATATATGTCAACCAAATATTTTATTTTTTAAATCAAAATACCTATTGTAAGATGGTGAAAATTGTTTTAACTATGGATCATCTTTTTTTGCCAACATATTTATTATCATTTTGGAATGAAAATCAATTAATTAAAATTGTGTCTGATTTGTGGAGATTATTGCCCCAAAGTGAACAGTGATGATTGTCAGCTTTTGATTCGGAACCGTTAGGGAGACATAATCATAATTACGTCCTCTTTTTGCTCTCTGTTTTTTTAATCACTATTCTCCATATCTGGTCCCAATAATTAGTTTATTAAATAAATCTCAACCTGATTGAGAATAGATAATTAAAATTCCTCAACCCAAGTATCTCGAGAAATTCTTACGTACACCGGGTGCCTCGCCTCATTTGTGTTCTAGCCAATCAGAATATAACAAGTCACAACATTTTAGGGTGTGTTTAGATTGGTGTTGGGCAAAACTGAGTTCTAGTCTAACTGACTTTTGTAACTGAAATTAGAATAAAAGTCAGTTAGTGTAATACGATTTATGTTTGGATAGGTGCTTATAATAAGTCAGTTGAAAAAATTAAAACTTGTTTAGATAATTAATGAAAAAGTAAGTTTGGATGTAAAATGACTTAAAAAGATATGAATTATATTAAATAATACATATTTATATTATATGCATATAATGTAATAATTTTAAGAGAAATATTAAAATTAATTGTGAGAATGACTTAAAAGGAGTTCAAGTATTATTGAAAAATTTGTAAAATATAACTTGTCATATTTTAATTAAAAAGCTAATTTTAATAATTTTTTAGTTTGATGAGTCAAACATAAAAATGAAAATGAAAATAAAAATTATAATTTTTAATTAGTGAATTGTTTTAATTTTTTTTTAGGAGAGACTATTAGTTATAAAAATAATAGCAACTAAAAATGAAATAAAAATATTAACATGGATTTTATTATTCATTAAAGGGGGAAGAGAGAGAAAGGGTGTGTGTGGAGGAGAAGATGGGCATGTGAAAAAACACTAGATACGATACTAAGGGGGGAGAAGCAGCAAAAAGTAGCGTTGGCTTTATTGGGTGATAAGTTGGCTATGAGCTTTTTTAAAAAACAATGACCCAAACAAGCAAAAAATCACAAATGAGCTTCAAATCTTCATTTCACAAATTCCTAAGCACGTTTGGGTCTTCAAATGATAATCTAAACAAGCTCTTAATCTTAGCTGGCTGCTCGGTCATCTCTAATTATTAAACAATTAAGATTTCAATTAAGAGAAAAACTCAGGGATTTCAATTTGCGTCAGAAAATTCCCATCGAAGAGCCCTAACCTCTAGTCCTCTACATTCGAGATTCAACGACGATTGCCCTCTTCCTGGTGACCTGAGACAAAACTTGAGCTCTTAAGGCTGGAGGTCTCTCGGTGAGTTTGCGGTGGGTAAGTTGCAAGTTGTGCTTTCCTTTTTCTTTTATTTTTGATCGAACAAGAGGCTATTTATCCTCATCTTCCTCTCCCTAGCGACCGTGTTGTGATTAGAGACGATGGTTAAGCCCTAAAGGCTGAAGGTTCTTGACGATCCCCTTGTCATGTTTTGCTTTGATTTGTGGATACAAGTGAGTAATGAAATCATGTTTGAAAGCCCAAAACCCTAACTTAAAATCAATCTTCAAAGCTTTTAATAACCCCTTTACAGTCCCTCTATCTTCAAATCAAAAGTATGAACCGTGGAAGTATTTTAGAAATCCTACCTAGAGTGTTGCAACCACCAGAGCCTCTACCGAAAAAATCATTTCACTATGATTCTTGAAGTTTCACTGAAACGAGATGTTTGTTATTTGACTTAATTCATAATGAACTGAGGTGCGATAAGACTAATCATACATATCATCAAGGCACTTGATTCAATTTATTTATTATTTTTCGAAGTACTTGCATTTTTGAAGATTATTGGGACGTTGAACGAATATCATTGTTTATAACTTTATATCTTCTACAAGGCGTTTTTATGGATGGTGAGTTTAACTATATTTGTGATTTCAGCTGCCTTGTTTTGTTTATGTGAAATCATTTTACTAGTAATGGTTACTATGTTTGCAATAATTTCTATTCAACCTGCACATCTAGATTGTTTTTCACGTACTTCAGGCACATAAATTTTGTGATGTTTATTTTGTTTTTGATTCTTTGCAGAATTTTTAGGCCTAAATTCCATTTGAGTGAGTTGTCTATGTAGATCATAAAGAAACTTACCTAGTGTCTGCCTGGCTGTCTGGCTTGATAGCCCCTGCTTTTTCATTGTAATTAACAATCAATGTTAAACCTTTTTTTTTTAACTTCAGGGGAGGAGAATTATACACCATGGCAAGCTGGGTAGGTGAGAGGAGGACGTGGCCTTCCTGAAATCATTCATTACACGAGGCATAATGGCTAACAATGTGATTTTGATATGGAAAGCTTTTGAGAATTGAAGGGGATGATGACTTTAGTTTGACTTCGATGAGTTTGGTGCTGACTAGCTAGTTTGTTGGCACAGTTTGCTATAACAGGCGGTTACTATTTAGTATATGTAACTTGCTGTCCAGAAATGTTTTATGTAATGTTGCAATTGAATGTTGTTAATTTGGTATTGTAACATGACAGTTGATTGTTTCAATGGAATGCCTTTGATTTGGTGTTTTGATGCTTGATTCTTCTCCCAGATATAGTTATGTCAAAATTCATAACAAAGAGTTCCAAAAGTGAAGGGAACAACTGTACAAAAATTCTTGTTGTGTCAAATCTGGAGAGCAAAGCAACATCTCAATTAATTGAACTTTGCTACTTTACAAAATACAAATGATCAACCATACAATGATCTTGATGGACCAGAACGATGCAATGCAGCATTTGAGAAGCAAACCAACCAAATGTGCAGAATCATGTCCATCCCTAATAAAATAATGAAACTAAATCAATCCTTCACTCCTAACTACTACAGCAGCTAAGCAGAAGCCTTGACCCATTTCGGTTATTTTTCTCTGTCCATCTCGTCCCTTAATCCTGCCCAAAGTTTGCTTGGATACATGTACTTCAATCTAATCCAAACAATTGCTGCAGCATACCTCCTGCATTTATAGCAACAATATCATTTGGAGTGCACAAACAATTGAAAAAAAATATCAATCAGTAGCATTGACACAGAACATGAAGATGCATTTTCAAAATCCTTTTATAAAGCTTTTTTCCCATATGTTCAAGAATGTGCCATTAGCTGACTTTCACCAAAAGGTCATAAATTGAGGAATGACCAAATTGAATATCAAAGACTAGAGGTTGGTTATCCATCATCAACATTTGATTGAATACTAGATCTGTAAAATTATAAAATAATCAAGAAGTTTTAGGTAGAAACAACATACCTTAATAAACTAGCAAATTAAAACATATATAAACAAATTGAAATCGAAGAAAATAATAGAAGAGAATATTGTGGCCTTCCAATGCTAATAAGCTAGAATGCACCATCATTGATTCCTCATTCAACTTCATCACAGACACTTAATGGCCCTAACCTTGTGGCCTTCAATCCTTCAACGACAATATCACGGGGATAATTTAGGAAGGGATTGGCGTGAGGTTGGATTAGAAAAAGAAGAGAGGAGAGGAAGATAAGGGAACCATTGGGCTGAGGAAGTTACCGGCAAAGGCGAGACCGACAATCAACTCCCTAAGTAATCGACGGCTAGTGCATTGAGCGGCGAAGATTCGTGGACGAAGAAGAGTGTTGGCTGCAGAGCAACGGAAGAGGACGATCGTTAAATGTAGAGGCTAGGGTTCTTCGATGGAAATTTGAATTTGAAGTTTCTTGATGCAAGTTAAAATCCCCGAGAGTTTTTCTTATAATTATTATTTTAATTAAAATCTTAATTGCTTAATAATTAGAGATGATCTGGCAGCCAGCTAAGATTAAAATGTTGTGAGTTGTTATATTCTGATTAGCCAGAGTACAAATGAGGTGGTGCTCCAAGCGCACGCATTCTCAACTATCTCAGCATATTGCCAAAATTAGTAAAAACTCACGCCACAATGTCCTTATACATCTGTGAGGGTGGGTTTAATTAATTAATTTTGTACATGTATTACTATTTTTAAACAATTACTAGACATGATAACATTTTTTTAGACCAGCCATAACTTTTAAATATATGCTTCCTCTCATTTAAAAATGTAAGAACTAGTTAGAAAATTGGTGTTGATTATAAATATAAGAGTTCCATCCAATTTGTTTCTGAAATTTATAATTTTTTTAAACCATGCCAATTGGTGGGAATGTTAAGAGAATTTTTATGAAAAGATGGTTATAATACAAGTGATTAAATAGGTTATTTAAGAAAAATCAAGACATATTCATTATAAAAAATTAATTTAACTAATTTTTAACATATGTAAATTAGTTATTATCTTCAATCTTATACAGAAGTATTGCATCACTAATTTATAAGTCAAGAACCACTAAGTGGGTGTGTAAAGTATGAATGTGTGGCGTCTTGTCCTATGAAAAGACAACTAATTTATAAAAATTAAATAATTAGTTATTTATTTATAATAAATATGTGTTGAGTTTTTTTAAATGCCTCATTCATTTACATTAGAAACTTTTTTTCATTGATGAAAACCCACCTCATTATATGCCATCAATATTGTTGTTTGGGAAACTAAATTTAAAGTTGTGAAGCAAAATCAACTAAGTCCTGTATTTGGAATCAAAATAAATTTCTCAACTGATTTTTATATTTTAAACATAAAAATATTCCTCCAATTCTAAATATAAAATTCTTATATACACTATATAAAAGTTTTATATTTAAGACGGGAAGAGTAATAAATTTTGTAGACTTATGGCTAAATATGACTTTGTAATTGCATACAGCAGCTATGAGCAATCACCAAATTAATAATTAATGACTTTTCAGTGGTCCCCACAATACGACACGCTGTGAACTTTGCTACTGGTCACTTCCGGCTTGCCCGTATGCACAGAGAAGTGTGGTACCATCACCATGTGTATTATTACTCCTGCATCTTCTATTTATAAGATTTTATTTATAGGTTATAAACAAAATCTTATAAATAAAAATAGAGATATTACTTCCTCCGTTCTTTATTATAAGAGATATTTGATACTTATAGCATATTCCTATATATAAGAGACACTTAAAAGTTGTCTCTATTTTTTTGTGTTGATTTCCTATTTTACCCATATTTATTGTCTCCAACTCACACTCTCTCTCCTTCCCACTTCTCTTTCTTTTAATAATTTAATTGTTCTCTCTCCTTATTAACGAAGGTATTTTTAAAAAAAAATTATATTTTTTACACATTGATTGTTCTTAACTAATTTTAACTGCTTTTTTTATCAATGTAATTCGGTTATTTGTCTCTTATAATAAAGAACGGAGGGAGTATCATCATCATCATCATATCTAACAATTAATATAAAAACTAAATAACAAATTTGAGAAAAAAATCCAAAAAAATATATCTTAAATTACACTATAAAAAGAGTTTTATATTTAAGACCAAAAGAGTAGTAAATAAAACTGATTTAAAATTTTAAAATTCAAAAAATGTTTTCTTAAAATTTTTCAAATTAAAAAAATTAATCAAGTTTGTTATTTATAATAAATATGCATCAAATTTTTTAAATTATCTTTTATAATCATATGTACTGACATTAATATGAATATTTTTAATGCATATAAATAAAAAAAGAAATAGATAATAAATATAAAATACGTTATTTTAAGATGAGGTATAGACGTTGGGAAATCGAAAATATCACAAAACGAGAACAAAAGCGCGCGATAAATTTGGACGGGAAGTGTGTGGGTGAGTTCAAAGCCGATTGGCCCACACTATTATAAGCGTCAAACCATATTCTCTTTTTTTTAAAAATATCCAAATATATTTATACATGTTAAAATCAACCATGAAGAAAGTGAATGAGAACACATGTCTATGTCTTTAATTTCAACAAAATGTGCTTCATCACAGGCTCTTGAACTTGATTAATACTTCTCCGGTCCTTAATATAAGACCCATTTAACTAATTTGATTAGATTAAGGAAGTTAGGTAAGTTAGTTAATTATAAGAAATGTGACACATTTTTCCTAAAACACCATAATCATCTTTCTTAATACCTCCTCTCCCTCTTCTACTTGATATGGTTGAGGGAGTATCCATAGGAGTAATTTTAGAGAAAACAATAGATATGAGAATAGGTCTTATATTTAGAACCAAAACCAACTCAATAATTGGGTCTATATTAAGGACCGAAGGAGTATATGCATTAGGTCATGTCCAAACTTGTCCAAATATCGCCAAATAAATAAGATCAGTTTATAGAGAATAAATCAAAGAAATAACTGGCAATCACAATATTATATAAATTTAAGTGTCTAATAAGTATGAAAAATATAAAAAGTATGAAATGAAAGTCATAAGTTCATTATGCTCTTGATGAAGGAATTTCTCACATAATGATAATTAACACGCTAATATGAATATAAAGTTTTCAAAAGGATGAATGGCCAAAAATAATTTGTGTATTGAAGAGACATGAACCAAGCCCAAAAATGAGTCTATCAATCCCTTTAATGGTGTGTGCTTGGTAGTATGGTTATTGTGAGTTCTTATTTTACTACCTCGGGTCTTAAATATAAGAACTAGTTGATTAATTTGAGTATATTAAGAAAATAAGTTAAGTTAGTTATTTGTAATAAATATGTATTATTTTTTCTAAAATATCTTTACTAATCAAGTTTATTGGCTAGAATTATCATTATTAAAAGAACTATCTTGGGAAAAAATAAACAAATATGAGAGACAAAATAGATTGTGGTCTTATATTTATGACTAAAATAAAATCAAATGAGATTTTATACTAAGTATCGGGTAGTATCTTATTTAAATATGTCGGGAAAACAACTCGTATAGTGCTCAATTATTCGTCTTCTGTTGTTCTTTCCTTTCTTTCTTTGTAGTTTTCCATTCGCCAAGTTCACTTTTTTATTTCGTCTGGCAGTTTAGTCATTGCTGATCTTCTCAAACCTGGACACTGAAACACCTCTTGTTGAAGAAACGACCAGAAAAGTGTCCTAAAGGTGAGGATAATGCCACAGACACCAGGTAGAGACAATGTTGTTCCACATGTTTCAGTGTTTAAGGTAACATAGTAGTGCGTCTAAAAGCAGAACACCAATCAGGAAAGATAACTAAACACACCAAACCAAAGACAGAGCACACGATATGGGAGACAAACACATTACAGATATCTCCCTCCCTTTCTTTCTTATAAACCAACACTGCGTAAATTTTGATGCGTATAGCTGAAAGAAAGATAATTTAGAGCCCTTTAGAATAGCTTATAAATAGCTTTCCAATCATAATTTACAAATACGAAGTATATATGTGAGAGAAGTTTTGTTTTGGTTTATGTGAACGTGCTTTATAAGTGATTTTCAATTGTAATACTGGTCCTTATTATAAAAATGACTTTTATTTGGTCATTATAATGTCTCTTATATTTAGCCTTTAAGATAATCCTTCTAATAATGATAGTTTTACAATACTTAATTACAAGGATATTTTAGAATGACAACACTTAATTTATTATAATAACTAACTTAACTACTTCCTAATCTGTTTGGGTCTTATAATAGACCGGAGGAGTAGCAAGAAGGCTTTATGGAATAGTACATAATACATTTTGTACTATATTCATGTTTAATATAAATATTCATGGTCGACACTTAATTTTTGGCTTGAAAGGCAAGGATGAGGAATAACATACAACGATGCTTCCAACGCAGCAAAACATGGACCAGGGACCATAAATTATAGAAAGCTTAGAGATGAGATGCTAAACAACTTTGCCTAATCAACTTCTCCTCCATTTCCCCATCTCTCAATCGCGTTGTTTTGTGAAGTTGCTGACTTGAACAACTTTGCCTGAACAAAGCTTAGTGAAGTCACTGGTCTTGCATGTATGTCTGCTTTATTGTTTAAAATTTCACCACCATCACCATCTTCCCCTGCATTCTTGTCTTCTTTTTGCCCATTCTCAGTTTTCATTAAAATCTCTAAAACCTCATCAATGGAGGGCCTTGTCTCCTTATCTATCTACAAGCATTGAAATGCCAATTCTCCCACTGCAACCACCTTTTTCTTTACCTCACTATCCTTCTCAATCCCCAAACCTAGATCCACCAAATCCTCAAATTCATTCTTCTGAATCTTCCTTACTACAAGACTCCCTAATGCAATCTCATCTTTGTTCCTTCCAATATTATCTGCTGGCATTGAAGATATCATCCATAGCACAATCCCAAAACTTTACACATCACTTTTGTTTTGTTAGCCTAAAGCAAAAGTGATACTCGAGATCAAGATAGCCTGGTCTTCCTTGTGGTGCTGTTGAAACATGCGACACATCATCTGGGAATACCCTAGAAGGTCCAAAATCCACAACCTTAACACAAAAATTCTTGTCAAGGAGAATGTTGCTGGTTTTGACATCATGGTGGATAATGCCGGAAGCATGAAGGTAAGCTAAAGCACTGGTAGTTTCTATGGCAATTTTGATTGAAACAGGCCATGTCAGCAATGCAGGATTTGCAGAGCTGCCACGTAGGTGACTGGTAAGGGTGCCATTTGGGATGTATTCATAGACAAGAAGGAGCTCATGGCTCTGACGCGAAGTGTAGCCATAGAGGCAGACAAGATTTCTGTGATGCAGGCGAGTGAGGATTTCAACTTCGGTCATGAACTGTTCCACTCACTGTAGTTGTGGTTTAATAGGTGTTTCACACTGCAACTTCACACCCATCTTGAAGCTTCCCTATAATGAAATAGCTTAAAGTTCAAAACTGCAAAATACAAGATTATATTAAAAGAAATGAGAGTGATTCATAAGATGACCATAGGAAACAGAGGCGAAGCCTCCATCTCCAAGTTTGTTGGAGGAGTCAAAGTTCTTGGCTGCCCCTTGAAGCTCCATGTGGAGATGATTGGGACTCCGAAGAAGCGTCTACCACTGTCTGGATCCGCATCATTTGGGTATGACTCGCTCATTGTAGGCTGACATGTTTCTGTGTTTGCTTGTAGTGCTGGAAAACGAGCACCAATGCTAATACAATGATCCCAAAACTACCTGTCCAAGATCAATTCTTAAATCTCTTCCTTTTGAAAAGGGAATGTTGTCCTAGACTTTTCACCCGAAGTTTCTTCTGCCTATTGTTTCTTGGGAACCTCATAATGTGAATGCATTTTACACTTGATAACAACCTATAATAATATATGTAGTAATACAGGCTTCTAAATAACTATGTTGGAAAGCAGATAGCTGAAAATGAAAACAGAAAATATGAAGTAAATTACCTATGATCAATCCTAGCATCAAAGCCCATCTTTTTTCCTGATCATCTAGCGTAGTTATCAGGAGCAAATATTAAATGGACTAGTTAGTATTGGAGCTCATTAGATTAGAATAGAAAGAAAATGAAATAAGCAGAGTTACGTTTATAGTTAATATGCATACCTTTGAATTTGGAACAATAAAATCCTTCGGTGCTATTGAGATGGCATATGCCTTTATTGTGATCAAAACAACGAAAACAGTCTTCAGAAAGTTGAATGCTAACGGGGAATTCAGAGGCTATGAATGTAAAGGGATCAGCAGAGAAAGCCAGCTTATTCACTGGAAGCTGAACCCTTGAACATATGCTAAAGAAAGTGGAGGATCGTCTTGATCTTGTTTCCGAAGAGGATCGTCTCATTAGTACTCTTACCACATCCTGTATACTTCAAGAATTGCTTTGAAACCCTGTAAGTGTGCAAACTATTACATTTGTACATGGTTAAATTTGGCAAGATATGAAAGGAACCCAAGGGTGAGCTGGGTGGAAGAGTAATATTGCAGTACAAGGCATGGCAGTCATCATTTTCCAAATAATTTTGTAAAGCTCTGTCTCTGAGGATAACTCTAATTCTATGAAGGCCATCAAATCTCCTCACTTGAAACTCCTTTCCACTGAATTGCACAGTTTTAGTTTTTTGTGGGATTAGGGTCTTCACAACCTCGAATGGCCAACATTCCACATTTGTGTTTTGGCGTGGTGAAGGGGAAACTGAGCTTGCGCAGATTTCCACAGTC